CTTTAGCTTGTTTGCAAGGCTAGAGATCAGGCTTGCTGCCAGGTGACAGTGGGCCTGGCTCTCTGGCTGCCCAGTGGGACTGTCAGCCACAAGAGGACTCTAAGGGACAGGAAACCTAACAGGGCAGCTGCTGGCCTCACACGTGTCATGTATCACTCACTCAGCACCCTCCCTTACAATGGCATCAGGGGATGGAGTAGCAAAGATCAGACCTTTTGGGCACTGGGCCCTGGTCTGTAGAATGAGAAAGAATAGCCGCTTCTCCCAGCAGGGCATGGGTCCACTGGCTTCTGGCTGCTGGCCCTGGTAGACAGGTTGAGGCACAGACACTGTTAGCCAAGCTGCAGGCCTGGGGACCAGACATCCATCATGAGTCCAGCTCTGTTCTTTGTCACTTAGGAGGACCAAGGCCTCCCAGGTGACCAGCCTGACTCTCCTCCCTCTTTAAAGCAGAAATGCCAATGCCCTGCTCTCGAGGGCCATGTGAGTTCATAGCCCAGGCTGCCCTGCATGCTGCAAGGGACACAGGACTGAATGTACTGGTCACTGCTTTCGGTGGGGTGTGTGTGTGTGTGTGTGTGTGTGTGTGTGTGTGTGTGTGTGTGTACGCGCGTAACATGAAGTTAGAGCTGGGGCCGAATTTGAAGCACTGTTTTACAGCAAGAAGATGCCTGCAGTTTACCCCTGTCACAAAGCCACCCTTCATTTTGCTCATATAGCAGGGCTGCTCTCTGGGTCCCTTGGGTGGTGGCCCACTCCTCAACAATGCCTTAAGCGCAGGTGGGGAAAGGACCTGCCAGTGGATTTTCCACATGACTCCACACTCTTGGGAAATCTGTGGGCTCTCGAGGATAGCTGCAGTTGGTTGTAGATGGTTCTGATTTCTTCATGTGTGTGGGGTGAGCAGTGAGGACTTCAACCGTGGTAACAGTTGGAATCAGGGTGCACCCCAACCACCCCTTGGTGGCAGCATGCACACAGTGAGCCTCCCCACAAGGCCCAGGACCAGGTCCAGAGCAACTGTGTCACTCAGTTCAGCATCTTTACAGGGTCCTCTCTTCTCACCTTCCCCTCTTCCTGAGCCCACCTTCTTGGCCAGGCTTGTGTAAGTTGAGTCTGAACAGGGAATGCAGGGTGCAGCCTGTATAGGGAGGGGACCCACACCTTCACCTGTGTAGGCAAACACACCTCAGAGCAGATATAATTGGCCCATAGGTGCTCCCTCCTACCCACACACCTGCAGAAATCAGAACTACCCAAAACAAACTCCAGTTGTCGTCCAAAACCTGCAGACCTGCCACCAATCCTGGTGGTGGCAGCATGGTGGAGGGGGTGGGGCCGTGGTGCGGGAGGAGTAATTGGTGAACCCAGGGTGAATGAAATAATTGGAAAAGTGAGGTGTGAGTTTGTTAGGGAAGTGTGAGCGTGTGGGGGTGGGTAGGAGGGCTGTGTTTAAAAGCCCGCTCTGGCCTCTTTATTCACAGCTTCGGATACAGTAATTGCTATTTTGTGGTTTCTATTATCTACACAGTGGGGAGCGTGCACAGCTCCGTCCCCCAGCGTGCTGGGCTGGGGATGAATCCCTAGGTGCTGCAGTTTCCCTCCCTCCCTCCCTGGTCCCTGGTGGCCCTACCCAACCTCGCCCCAATGACCGTGGCCTTGGCTCCCAGGAGGCAGGGTTCTCGTGGCACTCCCTTCAAAGGCCTCTTTTAAATACTGGCCTCGCAGACCAGGCCAGCAGATAAGAACCTTCATAATGGCTGGTATTTATATGTTGCTTATCTCTTTGGAGCGAAAGGTACTACATTGATTTTTTTTTTTTTTTTTTTTGCCTCCCCCAACCTTCTTTTTTCATTTTAATTCTCTTCAGCTATCTCTCGGCAATCCTTGGTGTTGGCCGCCCATGATCCCATATTACACAAGCACCCAGGGCTAGTCTCTGGCCAGCCCTGTCCATGATCACCAAGGATAGGAGTTCACCTCAGACCTGAGTCACCTTTGCCCTCTGCCCCTTGGTTTTCTCATCTGTCAACCAGAGGTGGTGACTGTGTTGATCCCAGCATTGTTACATCTGGGAATGGGGTGTCAGAGACCTGGCAGGCCCTCCTTTATAGCTGGGGTGACAGCAGCAATGACTGTTCTAAAACCTTCACTGAACATTTCTGCAAGTGTCCACAGATACTGGGAAGTTCTTCCTAAGATCTAAGCCTTCAGGTCCTTTCCAGCCTGACTCTTTGCCCTGTCCTTAGAAGCTGCTTTTCACTGGAGCCATTTCCCTGAGGCTCCTGGAGCCTTGAGGCATGTGTTTCTTTGGCCATCCAATTGGCAGACTAGAAGCCCCAAGCCAGGGTTGCAGGTTCCCTTGAAGGCCCCCAGCTCCCATCCCCACCCCCATTCCATGGTGGTTCCAAATCGTCACGGCTCACTCACCACACTCTCAGATGCACGTCCACAGACCACAGCAGCTCACCCCCTTCCACCGCCTCACCAGCTTCTTTCTCCACCTTTTAATTATTTTCCTCGCTTCCTCCGGCCCCTCAGCTGCTTACCATGCACCAAGCATCCACGGCTCGAAGCATGCTGTGGAGGGGAGGAATTAACCCAACAGCCTTCCCCTACCCTGCCCTCTTCTCCCTCTCCTCTGTCTCCCTTCCCCACCCCCCAGCCCCAACCTCATCACAGAGTCAGGCAGAAAGGAGGTGCACATGCTCTTCCCTCCCTTGTCCCCATGATCCTGTGTGGATTGCTAGGATCCTGGATTGTGTGCAGGGCCAGTCACTGCATGCACATACTCTCTCTCTCTCTCTTTCTCTCTCTCTCTCTGTCTTACACACACACACACACACACACACACACACACACACACACACACATACTCCTGCTTCACCCTTGATTTGGCCATGTTTGGGGAAGAAAGAAGCCCCACTTCTGGAAGTGACTGGGACCCTATAGGGGGCAGGACAGGCTTGAACTATCGTGTGGGAGCAAGGGACCTTACCCCCTGCTGTTTCCCACCCAGATTGGCACTGCTTCCCCTGGACTCAGGTTGTTGGTGAAATAGGGTGGAAAGACTTGGAAGTGATAAACTTCATAGCCCCTCCCTTCCTCATAGTCACCCTCTTCCAGCCATCTCCTGTTGTTTGTTTATTCCGGAAGTGGCTCCATCAACACCTGTGCAAGTTTGGCACTGGGCCCCAGGCTGTTGGCACTGGCCTCCGGGTACAGTCACAGCCACAAGTGAGATCAGTCTGGTTTCTTCCGCTGTTGAGATAAATGCATACACACACAAAACACCCAGAGACCTGTTGGGAGACAGTGGCTGGTGGCGTTGTGAAGGTGACTGACAAGTGTACTGGAGATGAGGTGGGTGGGCCTGGAGAGCCAGGTGTTGGCCTCCTCTGCAGAAACAACACCCTGTTGTCTACGCCCACACCTTCTAGCCTTCTTACAAAGGTGTAAAGCCCTCGGACTGGGGCTCTCAGTGGCCACACAGGTGTCCTCGCCAGCAGCAGTGACCTAGAGAACAGGTGACCGATGAGCCATTTCTGTGGACCAGCCTGGAAGCAAGCCTGTGCATGCCCAGCCGTTCCTCTCCCAGGCAACACCACAGACACATGGGGAATGCTTAGGAAGACCAAAGGCCATGTGTCGTGGGATGTGCGGGCCTTTAGGTGGCAGAATAAAGCAGGGTTTGCCGGCTGCATGACTGTCAGCTCTCCAGGCTTCTCATCTGACACCCCCCTCCCCCAAATTCAGCTAAGAGAAGCTGGCCAGGCTCCCCTCTGCCTCCTTCCCTTCCCAGCCTTGTCACCAGCTCCAGTCCCAGTGGCCTGCGAGGGCATGGGGGTGGGGGTGGCTGCTGGGGAGAGCTGGACGTGCCGATTCATTTTGAAGCTTCATAATGCTGCATTTACACACCGTCCTGCCTTCAGAAATGGGGCCAGCAGATGCCTGCTCATGCTGGCAGGTCTGCAGGTTAACGCCTCAGATTTAACTTATATCATTTTGCGAGCGCTTACGGCCTGCGCCGTGTTCTTTACGCAATCGGTCCTTGGCCCAAAGCATCCCAGACCACCGTGTGCGGATGTGTGGACCCCAAGGCCGCCAGAGAGTATAGATTTTCAAATAAAAATAACACCTCTCTTCAGATGCCGAGCGCATTAAATATTTATCAGTGGCATCGTGCACGTACACATTTGATAAATGGACATTACAAAGGGATTGGGATTGGGGCATGAGGCCAGGGGACCCCAAGGAAGCTCATTCCTTTTGTCCTAGAGTCTTTCAAAGGTTACCTTGGTGGAGGGGAGAGGGGTGACCCCAAGGGTGATCTAGGCGGCAGTTCCCTGATCAGGATTTCTGCTCCAGAACACTGCTTGACTGGCTTAGCAGATATCGAAAGGGAAGCCTGTGGGGGTTATGAGGCTCAGAGGAAGGAGCTGTATGTCTTCAGGGCCCTGAGCCCTCAGGCACCTCCAGACTCCTAGCTTGACAGAAAAAATTTTGTGGATTGGGGTGAGTCAGCTGAGGCTCAGCATATACCTGGCCCCAGATGTGAAATCTGCCTGGGAAAAGTGGGGTCCCCCACCAGCCACGCCTCCAGAGCCTTGGCTCTCCAAGCAGCTTCTTGCCCTGGCTGGTGCCTTCCTGACCTGGCACAGTGTGTGCAAGACACATCCCGTGGGGAAAGGACAGGTGTCCAGGTGTCCCCCAGGTGGCAGGAGAGGCACCGAAAATTTCCCATCAGTACCTCCAGCCTGATGGTGCCCTCCCTCCCTTGCTTGGTGGCCAGCAGGGAGAAGGAAGCCACGCCTGCAGAGGAGCGAGGGCTGGCTGTGGGGAAGTAGGAAGCCACATGAACATGCCTGGGCGGTGGGTGTTCCTGCAGCCAGCAATCTCCGGTAACCTGCAGGGTCAGCTCCTGGGTCTCTCTAGCCAGAACCCCTACGTCCCTCACAGGCCTCAGTCCTTAATCTCTGATGTCGGCCTTTTGTCTCTAGCACCTTTGGGGAACTGAAGACTGTGCGTCTGCCAAAGAAGATGGCGGGGACAGGCGCACACAGGGGCTTCGGTTTTGTGGACTTCGTCACCAAGCAGGATGCAAAGGTGAGTGCTACCCAAGAGAAGCACAGGGCCTCTGAGCCAGGAAAGAGCGCTGCTTCCTCGTGCCGTCGGCTCTTTCCTTGACACTGCTAATTTACCCAGTATGCTTGGAGGAAGAACACTGGGTATGGGATTTGGAGGACCAGGTACTGTGTGTTGGTATATGCACATGTCCATAATACCTGTGCAAGAGACTAGGTGGACCTATTTCTCAGGCTGCTCTGTAAAGACCCGCATCCAAGAGGCTGTGGGGCTGGGTGCTGTTTGAAACAGCTTGGGTGGGAATGGAAAGGGTGTCAGAAAACAGTGCATGGAGTAGGATCTGGCTCCCTCCTCATGCCTCCACTTGTGGCCAGTTCCATTCTATGCTAGTGGCACCAAGGACCACCCTTGCAGTGGACATGCACGTAAGCAGATATTTCTCGAGCTATGCAGGGCAGAACACCCTTTCGGGGGGTGGTTATTTTTGCTTATTTATTGTATATGTATTTGGTATGTGTGCATGAATGTGTAACTCTCTCCTACCCATAGCTAGTGGGGATTGAACTCAAGTCACCAGGCAAGCGGCCTTACCCACTGAACCAACTTTCCATACCCCATTATGCCCTCTCCCGCCCCCGTTGGGCTTTGAAGCAAGGCCGCTGCTCTGACTTCAGGCCCAAGACAGCAGACCAGGCTCTCATCCTGCCAGAGTTGAGTCCTCATCAGCTGAGTTTAGGAACCTCTCTCACAGCCCCAAGCTTCAAAGGCCAGGGCTGCTGGGCCATCCCATACCCCCTTTCTAGCACTGCCCATCAGCCTTGGCCCACCATTGCCTCCACTCTCCTCCCTGGAAAGCAGTATCCAGGATGATTCCCAAATGACTAGGGCTCCTCCACCCCAAGGGGAATCCTGCTGAAGAGCAGAGAGGCTCTGAGAGCCAACTGTGGTGTTGCAAGTGGCCCCATGGGTGGGGAGCAGCATGGAGCAGAAGAGACATCTTAGGGACACACCACTGCCTAGACTGGGCATCCCACAGGCACAAGTTACTAGTCCCACGGCATGGCAGCCACCTACATCTCTGTGTCCCCACTTCCAGCTGGCAGCCCTTCCCTTGTCACCTCCATCAGTGACAGAAGGGACAAGACACTGCAAGCACTTCCCAACCAGAGAAGCACTGTCACCGAAGGCAGCTTGGCCTCCTCTAGCCTTGCCCTATGCCTCGGTTTCCTTATCTGTGAAGTGAATTGACAGTAGTGTCCCCATTCCAGATTTGTGACAGATGAACCTATGAGGCCAGCTTCCTGGCCCATGGCAGATGCTCAGCATTACCTGATTTTTCTCATTGATATAACCCAGGGACCCTCTGAGCCACCTGGTGACCTCCTGTCAGCAGAGTACCAATACAAGACAGTGTGTGCACTGCATCTTGAGCTGTGGGGTTCCCCAACACAGGACAGTGGAGTGGCGGTAGCGAGACCACCACAGTCCGTTTCCTAGCCAGACTCCCAGGCAAGGCTGTATTTTGGAGAGAAGTAAAGGAGGCCCTAACTCTCTGCCCCTAAAGAAAGGTCTTTTCATCAAAGCCAACCCCAGGCTTGAGCTCACCATCTGTGAAGCCAGTGTGGCTTCTTGTCCTCAGTGCACCCTCCATGCACCTCTCAGGTCTTATGGGGCTTCCTTCTGTGCTGCAGAGCAGTCCTGAGTCCTGGGGCACAGGGCACCCTACACCCAGTTGGCCAGATGCAGTGTTGCTCCTAATCCCTCATCAGTCCCCTCAGCAGTGACTTAATGGAGTTGGCGGCTTCTCCCCTCCACCCCTTTCCATTCTTGGCTCCCGGAAGAGAAAGGGCAGCTAAGGACAGCGAGGGCTCAGCCCACAGTCCTGGAGAATGGCTGTGCCCTCCCCTCACCAGGTGCTATTTCGGGCCTCCCCAGCCCTGCAGCAGTCCCCCTGCCCTGCCTACCATGCCAACACCCACACCCTTTCTGCCTACTGTGCCAGTAAGCTCATCTTAATGGAAGTGGGCGTAAGCTGTGATCCACCTCCCACAATGATCCCTTGCTCTTCTTGTTTCTTGGGGCGGCTGCATCTCTCTTCTCTGAGCCCCTTGGTCTGTCTGCAGACCTGGTTGTCTGCTGAGTGGCCCTGTGGGTAACTTTTCACCTGCCATAGATACATGCACCCTGCAGACAGTGTGGGCTCACCCTGAATGTGGTGTCACTCACTAGATATGGCCTGAGGCTGGGAGAGTGGAACCCAACCAAGCTGGAAAGGGCTCTCGGAACCCCACCTCCTAGAACATGTTCTCCCAAGCCTCCTTTTCACACCCAATGTTTTTGAAAAGAGAGGCACCTTTAGAAACATCCGGGTCACTCAATGGTCCCTGACCCTCTTGGATGTCTTTTCCTACTTTGTCCCCTCTCCATGCAAAGCAGCAGCTAATCACTGGGCTCCTGCAACCTTGTACGCTCAGGCTTCCCCAAACCATCCTTAGACATAGAAGGGGAGGGTTGCATTGCCTAGTGGAAGACTATGAGACCAGAAGCCCATTGAGACTCATGCCTGGAGGGGCGGGCAACCAGCCCCCACTTCAGCCCTCCCCACTGCACCTTAGCTCCTGAGCCCAGGCCCCTCGGCATACAGTGTACCCTTCCACACAGGCCCACTGAACCCTGGCAAGTGCCCACTCCTCGTCCTGGAATGAAGGATTTGCTTCTCTCTCTGGGCCTCACCTTGTACCTCACACATCCTCCGAATCAAGTACACAATGATGCAGGAGAGCAGACCCAGCCAGGGGCTCCATGAAGGTCACATGCCAGAACCCAGAGGAACCAGGCACCCAACAATGTTAGGCAGGGGCCCCTGAGGGCAACACCATAGAGTCAGTGGAGATTAACACAGGAACTTTCCTCTCCTGACCTTGTGTATCTGCACAGCCCCAGGGCCCCACCTGTGGTTGACACTGACTTGCTCAAGCAGATGGGAGGTGGGACTGGTCTCCTTGCCCAGTCACAGGCACTAGTGACCTGAGCCCTGCCTGCCCACAGGAAATGCAGGTGAATCTTCCCCATCTAGGACATTTGATTAGCCCCTAGTGTTCTAGGCAGTAAATACCAGTACTGCCGACAGTGCCCATGCTAGCTCAGCCTCCACAGTTCTCAGGGAACCTAGCCCTACACAGAAGAGGGAAGCTAGCATTGAGTAGGAGACTGTAGCATGGCAGGAAGGCAGGCTAGCACACATCCTGCCTACCTGTGTGCCCCAGCCCCTGTCTTGTCATCACTACCACACCCTTCTCTGGGGTATCTCTGAATCGACAAAGCCTGTGGACTTCGGTTGCCCATATTTTGAATACCCCTGGGTGTTGGTGGTAAGCTGCTTAACAGGTGGAGAAATGGCTCAAAGACTAGACTTGGCTCAGTGTAATAAAGCCAGGCTCCTCCCTCCTATCAGGCATTGGCGTACCAAAGTGCTGACTCTCCTGCTACCCCACCCCTCGTACCCATTCCTGCTACCCAGCTTCAGCACCTCACCCTGGTAAAGGGCTCATACAGAGAGGCCTAGAGGTCCCACAAGGACATCTTTTGGGAGGGTCCCCTGAGCCCCAGAAGAACAGCTGCTTTCTACACTGCTGAGCTCCCAGCAGCTCACCCCAGCTCATGGGGCCCTCTCACCTAAATAGGCAGTGGGGGGACCTGGGCAAGGTGTATTTGGTCCCCTAAGTAGCCACCAATAGGCACTGGGTTTCCACTCAGGCCCAGCCTTCCTCTCCCTACCTAGCCCAGGCTGGCCCCAGAGGAAGGAGGAAAGGGCCACCCATAATGGGAAGGAGGGGAGGAGCAGACAGAAACCGGGAAACCAAAATTTTAATTGTTCTCCACACGAGGCGCCTTTAATTCTCCCTCCCGAACCATGCTCCTTTGTACTTTTGCGGTTGCAGCTGTTTTAGCCACCGCCACTGTTGTTTTAAAAGGCCTATTTTCACATAGAATGTTATCCAATTAGCAGAGCAATGTGTTGGCTTAAATAAACACTTGGGGGGAGCCGGCAGCCGGATATGTGATGGCGGCTGGCGTTGGCAGGCAGAGGTCTGCCGTGATAAACAACCACAGCTTTAATTGTAGGGTCCTATGCATCCCCTTCCTCTTTCCCACATCCCCACCACGGTGGGCGGACACGCAGGGAGCAATGGGGTGCATGGCCTGAGCTCACGGTGTCTGGAGATGCCATGAGGTGCAGAGGGCATGTCAGTGAGATCTGGGGTTGTGAAATTGGTGATGAGGGGCAGCACAGAGCTTCTCGGGCCTCCTACCTCCCTTGCTAGTTCGAAACACCCCTGCTCAGTGATGAATGGTGGCTGGCAGCACGTGATCTATCGGACGATAGGTAACATGTCCTTACCACACATCTGCATGGTGGCGTGCAAGGGGAAAGCGTGAGGTGTCAGTATAGTGTGCAAAGGATGCCCCCCCCCCGCCACGGAAACACCCCTGTTCCAATTAGGCAATGCCAAGTGGGGGCAGAGTGGCCCATGATGTCGGAGCTGCCTTCTTTTCCAAATATGTGTCCCTGAGCCCAGGTGACCCTGCCCCACAACAGGTGACACTGCCCTTGGGGAGTGGCAGAGCTCGAGAGAACAGATGGCATGGTGTGTGTACTGGGGGCAGGGAGGCAGCTGAGTCCTTCCGGCCCTGAAGGTTCGGGCACCCGACTTGAGACCTGCATCGATCAGTTGTGTGTCTGCCAGAATGCTGCCTGCTCTGGAGTTGAGATTCCATCTCCACCTTTCCCTTTGGGTGTGCGTTCACACCATGTGCAAGATCACACCGGCTTTTGAATGGTGCTACTTTACCAGGCTTCTGTCACCACTGCCCTGAAGTACAAATTCTAGCCAAGCTTGTACTTCAAGGCAGGGATTGAGGCTCAGCCAGCACATGTGGTCTAAAAACCGAGGATCAGGTGCTGCCCAGTTCCCCACCAAGACATGAGTAGGATTACATTGTGCCATTGTAGACCAGAG